CCCAGCTCCCCCAGCTCCCCAGGACTCCTGCCCAGCAGCCCTGGCCATCTGTGCTGTCTGGCAGCAGAGCGTGGGGATGGACACACGGATGTCTCGGGAGTTTGCTCCTTGCCACGCTCCTGCTGAGCAGCGCCAGCCCCAGCCAGGGCCCTTCTGCAGGGACTGGTGCTGCAGTGCCCTGCCCTGCCCTGGGCTCACTGCCAGGCTCCTGCTCCCCAAAACACCCAGCCAGCCCCCTGGGCCTTTCCAGCCCCAGGAATTACAGTAAATTACAGTAAATTACTGTGTTACAGGTGAAACAGAGAGTACAGAGAATGAGTGCAGAGTACACTGTGTGTCACCCCTGTGCCAGGGTCTGTCCCTCTGCTCCCCAGGGTCACATCCAGCCCCTTCCCTGGGTGTGTTTCAGAGCTGGGCAGAGCTGGACCCCACAGCTCCGGTCACAGAGCTCGTGTCCTCCCAGCCCCCCGGGATTGCAGGGGGCATTTACAGTCAAAGTGCTCCCCAAATTAACCTCCAGCCTGCCCAAGGGGAGGACTGACACACAAGCAGCTGGTTCTTCTTTCTGGGATATTGATTTCCCCCCTTTGCTTTCCTGTCCAGCGAGAGCTGGGAAATCTGAGCCAGCTCAGAGGCTTTGCTCAGTTCCATTATTGCAGGAAATGCTCCCAAAAAGCCACAGACTCGGAGCTGCTGATCCCGGCCAGGAATGACCCCTGCAGCTGCAGAAAGGCCCCGAGGAGGCTGCAGGGATCAGCTGGGCACAGCCAAACCAGGGGATGCTCGGGGTCCCCAAGGCTGCCACGGCTCAGCCTCGCCGAGGAAATCATTGCAGTAAACTCCTTTTTATTTCTGCTCTCGCAGCAGCACAGGAGATTGCCTGCCAGCTGGAAGGGTGCGAGCCCGTGATTAGAAATGCCACGTGGATACAAATGAACTTGAACAAAAGGGAAGAGAAAGGAACCCCAGGCTGCTCCTGCAGAGACGTGCGGGCCGTGCTGGGGAAGGGATTCTGCTGCTGCTGGTGGATGCTGCAGGGAAGGTGTTGGGGATGTGCCTGAGGGAATAAACCAGCGCTGGACTTTGACTCGAAGGGATCTGAGTTCAGCCAGGATGTGGCAATTCACTGCTGGACTCGGCAGAGGGGAGCTGGGGGAATTGTTTGCTGGGAGTGCAGTCAGGAAAGCTTCCAGGGCAGCAGGGCTGGCTCACGGCTGGGGCTGAGCCTCGGGCACCACGAGCACCACGAGGCTCCAGCAGCAGCTCAGGTGTGCAGGGCACAGGGTGAACAGGTGAACAGGTGAACAGGGAGCCCCAGTTTCAGTGGCTTCAGTTTCAGTTTCATGAAGCCCAGAAGGTGTGGGCTGGAAGGGACCTTAAACATCCCCTAATTCCACCCCAGCCATGGCAGGGACACCTCCCACCAAACCCTGCTCCAAACCCATCCAGCCTGGCCTTGGGCACTGCCAGGGATCCAGGGCAGCCACACCTGGAGCAGGGAGGAATTCCTTCCCAAGATCCAGTCTAACCCTGCTCTCTTCCAGTTTAAAGCCACTGCCCCTGGTCCTGCCACTGCACAAACAGCAAAGGGACCCCATGTCAGGGCAAAGGGAAACGCTGCCCAGCCGTGTTTGCCTTTCCTCCTGCCCTGCAGCAGCCCAAGAAGCCCCATCTCATTGTCAGAAGAATAAGCTGTGAAATGGTTTTGAAAATCAAGGCTTTTTAATTACAGGCACATTTGGGAGCCTTCTGGAGGCCATCTGGCCCGGGGAGCAGGCTGTGGGCACCAGGAAGGGAAAGCCCAGGGAGGCCGAGCAGGAGCAGCTCCTGGAGAAGCACTCGATTAACGTGAGAGCTAAATCCTCTCTCCATATGGGCCAGAGGCTGCACTCATCCACTCCAGGGCTGTGGAGCTGCAGTGCTGGGTGCCTGGGCTGTGGAAGCTCCGGGATGTGCTGCTCATCCAGCCCTCGGATGAGACTGAGCAGAGATTTCCAATAAATCCCAATGCCCAGGCTGCCTCTGCCATCGCTCACAGGGAGCTGCTCCTGTAATTATTGTCCCGTGTTTGGGATTAGCCACTCCCAGCAGCCATGCAGAGCAGCCAGGGCCTCGTTAGACACTGTCATTGTGCTAATTAGGAGGGTTTCATACTTAATAACGGAGAACAATTTCATGGCAGTTTCATGAAGAAAAGAAGAGGAGCAAAAGCCATTATGATTTCAGGAAAAGTCCCTGGAGAAGTGAAATGGTAATTCACAAACCCATCTCTGATCTATTAGCAGATCCTGCTCTGGAGACTAAATTAGGGAGGATGTCTGGCTTGGGTGATATTCTTTATTATTTGAATGTCTATAAGGAATATTTATTAAATATTTTTTTCTCTCATGAACTTTGAGACTCAGCCACATTTTCTTGCTATTTCCAAGTGTTTGAAGCCTAAACCACACTGGATTTGTCACTGCAAACACCCTGGAAAATCCTATTTTAATGCCAAACATCCTTTGAAGATACACTTGTGAGGCAGAGGGAAGAGCAGCAGGTTTGAAAGCACGCTGGGCATTGGGTCAGCTGTCCATGCAAAGGGTCCCTTTGGGAAAGGAGCACATTAAGGAGCCCCCACCCCGTCTGTCCTGTCCCTGGGGCCGAGGGGTGCCAGCAGCTCCCCGGGCTCTGTCCCTGCTCTCAGGGCCAGCCTGGGCAGTGCCAGCCGGAGCTGCAGCGTTCTGGGTGGGAAAGGAAGACGTGGGAGGCAGCTGGGGCCAAGAGCTGCCCTTTCCTCGTGCCAGCAGAAGCAAAGGCCTCTCCTGGAGCAGGGACAGACAGGCCAGGCCAGCAGCTGATCCGAGCAGCTCCTGGCACAGCCCCGGTGCTCCGGGGGCAGCTGCTGACAGCACGTGGGGCCACAAGTGCTGCTCCTCCAGAGAAAGCTCCCGTGGCTCCTGCTGGGGCCCCAGAGCTGGGGCAGAACCCCAGCAGCTGCTGGGCTGGGCTCAGCACTCAGGAGAGCCACGGGAGCACCCAGCACAGCGCTCCTCTCCTGGGGCTCAGCCTTTGGGGCCAGTGGGACACGTCTGGGATGTGCTCCTGGCCATGGGGGTGCCCCAGGGCTGGGGCTGGGACCCCCAGGTTGTGTCTGGGCTGCAGGGGAGCCCAGGGCTGAGGCCACACTCCTGGGGACTGAGGTTGGTGCAGGAAAAGCCGTTCCCCTCTCTGGAAAACTCCTTCTCTTTGCTTCCCCTCCGAAAGGAGCAGGGAGGTAACAAGCAGGATGAGCTACTGATAAAAGAGAAGGAAAACAAAATGCTTCACAAGCAGCTTTTCAGCGTTCAGAGACATTGGGAAGGGGGAGCCAGCAGCCCTGAAGGCCAGAGGAGGAAGGAGAAAAGCTTGCTCAGGTTCCTGCAGGAGTGCTGAGCTCGGGGGCTGCCCTGCTCCTCTCCTTGTATGGGCACAAACACGGCTGCCTTGTGCCTATATTTAATTTGCAAAGGAGAAAAAGAATTCTGTCTCCACGCCTCTCCCACTGGCCTCTCTGCCCTGGGAAGTTACAACAGCAACAGAGCTGTGTGTTTAAAACAAATAATGCCCTGCTGGCACGTGAGGCTCTCCTGAACCGGGAGTGAGTGGAACAGGTTCTGCTGAGGCTGTGATTCCATCGCCAGGCTCTGAGCTCTGAGCTCCCCGGGGCTCCTCAGGACCCCCAGCCCAGCCCTGAGGCTCACCCATGGCAGCAGCGTGTCCCCCCAAACCTCTGTCCCCTGCCTGTGCCACTGTGGGGGGACCAGGATGGATGAGAAGCCAAAGCAGCCCTGAGGCTCTCGGGGCTGTGCAGGGGATGTGCCTCTGCAGCAGTGCTGGCACCCTGGCAGGGAGCTGCCAGGATTTACAACCTCCCCTTGAATGGAACCTCCTCTGGCTGCTCCCCACACTGCCTGAGCCCAGCTGGGACAGAAGAGACCCAGGCTGTCCCACAGCGGAGACGAGACCGATCCCACTTTATTGGAAACTCTTGGAGAGTCGGACACTGAAGAACTTGGTTCTGTCAGGACGAGGTTTGTACATCAGCAACAGGGAACACATCAAGAAATGGGGGATTGAACTTTGCATCTGGGTGAAAATCCAACAATAAACTTCAGCAGTGTTGTACCTGGAGTGATCCACAGGGACAAGGGGAGGGGAGAGGGGCAAACCCACCGAGACCCCCAGGCCACAAACCCCCGGCACCAGCCTTGTGCCCTGCTGGTTGAGCTGGCAGGGGAGGGAGAGGTGCTGGGAGGGCACCAGGGATGCAGTTTAAGGGGAAACACCCCCAAAGTTGGGGGTCTGCCCCCCACTCAGCAATTGTTCAAGTCTTATAAATTCAAACTCGTTTCTTTCCATTTAAATAACAAGTGCTTCAGGTACAAGGCTTGGATGCCTGGTTTGTAACCCAGTTTCAAGTGCACACAAGCAGGAATAGATTTTTTTAACAAAACTATATATATATATATGTATTTGCACACTCATACACACACATGCACACCGTGGATTTTGTGCTGCAGCCTTTGAGGTGGAGATGGTGGAATGGGCCTGGCACCAGGAGCTGCTCACCTGCGGCACCACTCACCCTAAAGCTGCTAAAGATTATTTTTGCCAATATCGGCAAAATATTGGCCCCCAAAGGTCTCCCCACTTGTGCCAGCTGCTGCTCAGGCAGTCCCTGGAGCCGCAGTTGTCCAGAAAATTCCATGTGCAGGCAAGTGAAGCCCGCAGCACGTCCTGCAGGACTCCTGTCCTGTCCCTGCAGAGAGCTCAGGAGTCTCCTGGGAAGGTGAACGTGGTGCTGGGAGAGCAGAGGACGGGGCAGGCTCAGACCCAAACGGCCGTGTTGATGTCAAACCCCGCCTGGCTGAGGTCCCTGGAGTCCTGCACCTTCTTGGAGCCCATTTTGGGGTGCTCACCACGGCTGTCTGCCCTGGGACACCTCTCTGCTTTGCCGTGATGGTTCTGCAGGTTCCCGTGGAGGGGCAAGTAAAACGTGCCCTTGAGTTTGCTGATCTTTTTGGACCTCTTGGAAATCTGGGGCTGTTTGTCCTCAGGAGGCAGCCAGCAAGGTTTCTCCTTGAGCAGCCTGTCCCGGTCCGGCCGGACGCTCCTCAGGAACTTCTTGAAGATGTTGGCTGTGAGGGAGAACTTCCTGCAGAGCTCCTGGGATCTGCTCACGGACAGGGACTCCTCGCCCTTCTCCCCCTTCTTCTCCAGCTCGGGCAGGTCCAGCCAGTTCCCCACCAGGTCTGCGAAGATGTTGTCCCCCAGCACCAGCGGCTGCCGGTTCCTGCTCTGGGACATCAGGGACGAGGTCCAGTCGTGGCCATCGTCACATCCCGGGCACTCCTGGCCCGGTGGCCACCCCCAAGCTGTGCTGTCGGGTGTGCGGGGCCGGGCGCGCTCCGCTCTGCCGGACACCGAGGAAGGTCCTTTTGGGGGGCACAGAGCCTCCCCACTGGGGCTCCGGGAGGAGGAGGAGGAGGAGGAGGGGGTTTCTCCAGGGTGGTCGCTCTCTGGGAACACGGTGGGATGGCACAGCCCGGGACACTCCAGGCCCGGGGGGCAGGGTCCCCTCGCCTGGCCCGGCCGCGAGTCCTGCCCGGCTCCGCTCCGGCAGCACCGGCGCTGCTCCGGGGGGCTCCGGCACCCCGAGATGTCCAACTGCTCCAGGGCTGTCTGCACCTGCAGCAGCTTCAGCTCCTGCAGGGCGCCCATCATGCAGTTCATCTGCTCGTGCAGCCCGTCACCCACCTCCTTCATGGAGAGCTGTGGAGGAAGAGCACAGCGGGTCAGTGTCCCCAGCAGTGTCCCCAGCAGTGTCCCCAGCAGTGTCCCTGGTGGGTCAGTGTCCCCAGCAGTGTCCCCAGGGCAGGGGACAGCAGAGCAGGGCTCAGCAGCTTTCTGGTCCATCCCCTCCCTCCTGGCCGCAGTTGCCACACGCCCCACCTGCGCCACATCCACTTCAGCCAACAGCACCCCAACTTTCCTTGGACTTCTCTGGGAGTGTCCCTCTAGGGATAAGAGGAGCTGACAGAAGTGGATTGTTTGACCCGACAACAAAAATAAGGAGTTTGAGTTTCCATTAATTGCTTGGCAGAAGCCCAAGGTGGAGAATTCTGAATCTTTTGGCTGCCGCCGGTTTTGGAATATTCTTGCACTTTTGAGTGTTTTGTGTCCTGTCCCCAGCTGAAATCGGGAGCCAGAACAGAGCTTTGCTTCCTTACCTGAAGTGCTCAAGTAGATTAAAAATAAGCCCCAGGAAGAATTAAATTGTTACTCCATAACACACCAGCTCTCAACACCCTCAGCACAGGCACCCCTTGCTAGAGGACAATCAAAGACATTTCAATGCACTGGAAATTTTGCCAGAACAACCAGCAAACTCTAGGACTACTTACATTCAACCAGGAATTCTTGGATTCCCAGGCTAGGACCTTTAGCAGCAGTTCTGCTTCATCCCTGAACCTCACTACAAAGATTGAACTTTCTACACCAGGCTTAAAATAAGCAAGCAATTCTCCAGAGCTTCCCAGCTCCCCCTTCTCTCTCGCTCTGCTGCTTCCTCTCTCTCACGCAGGATCTGGATCATATTCCCAAAGCAGCACCAGAAAGCAAACGGGCTCCACTTTCCAACAGCTGCCACTTCTTTTTTAGGAGGGGGAGGCAGAGCAGGGCTGGCAGGGCTGGAGGTGAGGCCGTGCCACACTGGGCTGAGGTGGTTTGCAGAAGAGATTACCCCAGCGAGGGAAGCCTCAGCCCACGCTGCCACCAGCACTAAAAGGCTCAACACCATTTTTTGTACAGCAACAGATCTCAAGATTAGGGTGAAAAAGCCCAGCTTTTTACCTTTTTCTTATATCCAGTTTTACAGTACCAAGCTTTACTTGCTACATCTCCTTCATTTTAACGAAGCTGGTTCAATTAGTTGCTCTATTTCCATCTCTACGTGCAGCTGAGCAGCGAGAGAGAGCAGCCATCAGAAAATTGTGACAACCCAGCTCTCTAAGTGAAACCTGCTCAAGAGTTTCTGACCACAAATCCCCATTTCAAACCCCAGAACCTAAAACTAAACTCACTTGCAGGTTACAGTCATTTTTCAGAGCTTTCCTCTCGAGAAACTCGTTTATCACCCAGAATGAGCACACAGCTACAAAGATACAGAAAATCTCTACTCAGCTTCCTGATTCCAGTACCCAGAGCCTCCAGCTATGGCATTTCTTAACATCAGCAAATAAACTCCTGCTGCAGACGTGCAAATCATGTCCCAGTTCCAGCCTCACCGAGCTCCTGGTTCCCGCTGGGGCCAGATGCTCTGCCAGCCTCAGACACAACTATCACCTTACCTCTCCAGATCTGCTGTAATGCTGCTCGTCCTAACCTTTCTTGCCTTATTAATGGCAGTCTGTTTTATCTGGGCTTTGGGAAAAGCTGGATTTGGAGCCAGCTTGGCCCCTCATTGGCCACGTCCCACCAAATCCCCTGGCAGTAATCGCGCCGTGGGGAGCGCAGGGTCCTGCTGGGGCTGGGCTCCTGCTGCCCCCGGCACCTGCCCCGTTCCCCCGGCCCCAGAGAGCTGTCCTGGCATGGGGCAGCCCTGCTGGGCACAGCAGGGAGCATTAACCCTTCCTGGGCTGCTCCTCACCCAGAGCCAGCCCCCAGCCCCCAGCCCCGAGCCCAAAACCTCTCCTGAGCAAAGGAGCTGGAGCTGCCAAACCTGGTGCCAGCACCACACTGGAGAGCCTGAAGCGCTGGAAAAGAAGAGGGGATGTTTTCCTGTGTGGAAAGCCTCTCCTGGGAATGCCTGAGGTGGGGATGCCGGGGCTGAGCTGCCCCTGGCAGCACAGGACAGGAGAGGAGGAGGTTTTGGGCTGGGATCCTCTGTCCTGCTCCATGGCTGGCCCTGGTCATGCTCCATCCCTCCAGCAGCGACAGCTTTCAACATCCTGAGACCTCTAACTCTGCTGGCAAACACTGCTTTGTGCTTGAAACAACAATTTCGGGTTGTGCAAGCTAAAAAATGAAGCAAAGCAACCCCCTCTCCTTTATCTTTTGCTCTTCACGGTATCTGCTCAGTCTTTTACAGAATGGAGGGTGAGGGAAGCCCAACCCAAAGTGAAGTCACTGCCTGGTGACCAAACAGCCTGCGGGGCTTGGATTCCACCCACCTGCAATTAAGAGTACTCACCTTGGAAAGAAAATTCTGGAGGGAAAATAAACCTTCCCCAGTGTCTAAGTGCCAGCCCCTCCTCCCTGCCAAGATCTCCCAAGTTCAGACTGGCTTCTCTAAGACTCTCCAAAAAGGAACCATGTCCCAGAGAAGAGAGATCACCTCCCTGGCAGAGGGTCAGGACTGAACTATTGGTCTGAGAGAAGAAAAAGGGATTCTGCAAATAATCCAGCAGATAGGGCTGGAAATCAAATGGATGCACTGCTGGAGGAGATGGGAGCTCCAGGCTGAAGAGACAGCCCTTGTAGCCTCACTGGCTCTTGGCCACACACTTCATGCAGAAGGAACTCAAATTTGTGATGAACTGTGAGTGCACACAGAGCATGAATGTGCCCCAGAATCCCAGAGAGCTCCAGGTGGTGTGGGGAGAGAGCCCGAGCGTGCTGGGCTCCTGCAGGTGCTGCAGTGTGAGCTGGACATGAGGAGATCTCTGCCTGAGCCTCTGCAAACCCCAGCAGCGCTGCCACTCTGCTCTGCACAGAGCCTGATGCACAAATCCAGCAGCATTCCCAGGGTGTCTCATCTGAGACACTTGGCCCCTCAATAGCACTGCTTGTTTGGCTTCCAAAAAAAGCCCTCTTAGAACCATGACAACATGCAGATATCCAAATCTGTCTCTATAAACCAGTAAAAAATGAGATGCCTCAAATTGGATCTCATTATTCCTGGAACTTTTGCAATCCCTAAAAATTGGCATGAAATATTTTCTGTCTAATTCTGCACAAGCCAACTCATGCCCTTTACAGCAAGACAAGTACTCACAGGGCTGTGTTCTCCTGCAGTGCCTGGGACTGCTGTGTGATGGGAGAGGTTCCTTTCTCCAGCACTGAGGCATTACCTGGCTCAGTCCTCCTGTGCAGGTGACACCCAGGCAGCTCTGCCTCAGTGCTCCTCCACAGCAAAGCTCAAACTAAGACACCCCAAGCAAAATTCAAAGTTCCACTTTCAAACCGTCAGCAGGGAATGTTCAGCGTGATGGGGAACCAAACAAGAAACTGCCAGAGTTCATATATAGAGTGTTTTTTGCACTGGAAATGCACCACCCTGAGCAGCAAAGGCACCAACTGCTTTGGAAGCCACCCTTCCCATGAGCTCCTCAGTCCCCAAACAATAACCCACAGCTGCTTCACACACTCGGGAAATCAGTGATCTTCCACCTCTGATCAACACAGCAGAGCCTGTCCCAAGGAGCCTCCTCCAGCAGTTCCTGGCACTTCATCAAACTCAGCCTCAAATACCCGAGAGTTACAAACAGGGGAGGTTCTCCTTGTCACTGCCCACGTCCCAGGTAAGTGATAAACTTCTCCCAGCCATTTGGGAACAGATGTTTTTCTGTTAACATCTCCCTTCACCGATACAATCCCTTCACTTCTCAGAACCCGGTCGCTCTCCCAGCTGTCTGCATCCCCAGCCCATGCACACATCACACTGCTGATGCTGATGGGAAGGAAAAGCCCAGACAGCCCCAGCGTTCAGCTGAGCACAGGGCTGGGGAGAAGAGCCCTCAGTGTGTTTGTCACAGTGAGGAGGAAGACAGATGTCCAGCTCTTAGGTAAAAGAAATGCACAGAGAGGAAGTTATTGCTAAGAGAACAGGAAAGAACAAATGGCAAATAGTTTTTAGTAATAGTTCTGATGGGCAGCAGAGCCAGCAGCAAACAATTGGTATTTACAGCAGATGACATAATAGAGACTGAAATTATTTTCGAACTGCTGAGCTGATGATATTGTTCCTGTGTTTCCCTTTGGGTCACTGACTGGATTAATCCCCAGCCAGGCTGCAGTTGTGGCTGGGCACAGCCTTGCTGCACAGCTCACACCGAGCTGCTCCCCAGCTCCAGTTCCACCTTTCTTTTCCTTCCCCTGCAGGATGCCAAGGGCCTGCAGTTGTCTTTCAGTCCTTGTGTTTTATCACAATAATTTCAAGTCCTTCTTTTACTTCTTGTCTCCCCAGGGTATGTCAGGGGTACATGAGGATGCTAACTGTGAGCTCAGTTTATCTGAAGAGGAAGGATGCTGAAACTGAACCAGGGACTCCCCCTCACAACAATTTAAATAGATCCTGAGCAGATGTTAACCATGAAGGATGTGGTTCACATCACTCCATTCTCCACCTTCCTTCCCACTGCAGGGATATTGTTCTGTGCTTCCCAAACACACTCCCTGTGTTCAAAGGCAAATCAGAAAAATCAATTCTCCTCAACCAGGATAAAAGTGGACCAAAAATAACTCCAGGCTCCAGACTTTTACTCACAACCCAAGGATAAGAGAGAGCACAGGACACACTGGCCACTGAAGAAGATGGTTAAAAGTGTCATTTTTCAGCCCAGACCTGCTTCCCCGGGAATCTGCTCTTTAACATTCCTGATTATGTGAAGCTGGGAGTCTGAAAAAATCCATCCTCATCCTTAGGTGACTGCTCTGGAAATAACCCAGAGGACAAGGCCTGTGAGTGCCTCCTCTCCCCAGTTAGATGTGACAGGACATCTGCTGTCAAGTCTCTCCTTTGCACCTTCCCCCCAGGAACGCCAAGGAATGAGATCCTGCGACAACCACCCAACCTTCTGGAGCTGCCTGCTGCAGCCAGGGGTACAGCCACCCAAAAAGGACCTGCCTGAGCAGAGACACACGTGGAGCTGCCTGTTCCCACCTGCTGGAGCTGGAGCAGTGACACCAGACCCTCAGGGCTTCATTTGTGCCTCCCAGACTGCAAAACAGCCGAGCTGCCCCTTCCGAGGGAGCAGGAATGAAAACAGCAGATCCTCTCGGAGCGTGCAGTTACCGGAACAGGACCCAGGGTGAGACAAAGAGTAAAAATAATTGGCTGTATTTCTCACTCGGACCGAATGTTCTATTCCTGCAGGATATTCATAGCAAGAAACATTGTCTACCAGGACATAAATTAATGTAAAAAGGGAGTCAGACTCTATCAAACCCAGTAATTCAGTGCATTTATGACAAATGTGCAGGGAGAACATTAAAAGTTCAAGTCAGAGTAGTGACTTTAATACTTTTCCTCCCAGTAAAAAAAGAAACCCCGGATATATTCTGGATTCATGTGAAAGACCAAAGCATGCCAAGTGAAGTTACAAGCACAGCTGACGTGGCTGTGCCCCCTTGCCTGTTACAGCCACACAAACCCAATGTCCCAGATAAATCTACCCTGTGGACTCAGCAGTGCCCAGACAGAAAACTGATTTATTCTGGGGGCAGATGAGCCCCCAGCCCCCTCCCATGGTCCATGGGTGATGCTGCACATCAGTGCAGAGTGTGTCTGAGTGCAGGGTGGCACTGCTGTGTGCACAGGGGCACAGAAATGAACTCCTCTGAGTTAAATCTG